CCTTTTTCTCCCAGGATGACGAAATTGGTAGACTAAAGGGATGCTGTAGGTATGAGTTACCTAGATTTTTAGCAAAACATCTGACAGCTTCTCTCACACTATTCTTGTGGGAGGGGAAATGGAGAGAGGAGGAGTTGGATGCATTTGGGACTGGTTGAATAACTGGACCCAAAGAATAGTCATTAATGCTTTAATTTCATTTTAGAAGGAGGTCTCTAATGGAGTGTTAGGTCTTTCTGCTTGATCTGGTGCTATTTAATTTTCTTACGAATGGCCTGGATGAAGATGTCAAGGAGAAAGCTGGGAGGAAGATATTAGGAGTCTGAAATACCTTGGCAGGCTAGAATATTGAGCCAAGTGAATGAAAATAAAGTAAAGAGGGGTAAGTGCAAAGTCTTACTTTTGCGGGGGGGGGGGGGTGTCTAAAAATCTTGTGAAGTACAAGAAGGAAGTATGACTCCATAGAACTTCTGAGAAAAATATAGTGGGTTTAGCAGATTATATGCTCCATATGAGCCAATAATGTATTACTGCAGCCAAGAAATGAATATGTTTTCCAGGTATATTGATAATATCTAACATGGTAATAGATACATTTTAAATAGCATTTAGTATGTGTCAGGTGCTATGCTAAGTGATTTACAATGATCTTATTTAATCCTCACAGCAGTCCTGGGAGGTAGGCACTATTATTCTGACCATTTTATAGATGAGGAAACTGAGGCAAACAGAGGTTAAGTGATTTGCCTAGGGACACACATCTAGTAAATGTCTAAAGCTGGATTTGAACTCTGGTCTTCCTAACTCCAGGCCCAGTGCTCTATCCACTGTAGCACCTTTGAGTTGCCATTAGGAGAGAGACAGATAATCCTGCTATTCTTTGCCCTACTCAGAAGTCATGTGGAGTACATATTTTAGGGAGAATCTTAAAGAAGTTCATTTAGAGGAGAGAAATCAGGGTAGTGAGAACCTTGAGTTTATACTGTATGAGGAAAGGTGGAAGGAACCCAGGATGTAGAGCTTGGAGTTTGGGGAGAAGGTTCATGATAGCTGCCCTCCTATCCCTGCCCCCCACCCAATTTTTACGGTCTCTTACATGTCCCTCAGGACACAATGAGGAGCAATGGATGGAAGTTACAAATTGGCAAACATAGGCTACAGTTAAGGGAAAAGCTTTTCGAAATGGTAGCTATTCAAAAAAAAGCATGAGCTTCCTCAGAAGGCAATGGATTTCCTCTCACCGGGTCGCCTCAAGCAAAATTTGAATGGCTACTTGTTTGGTATGTTTTGACGGGAATTCTTGTTCAAGTAGAGGTTATTAAATGGCTTTTGAAGGTCCTTCCAACTTTGAGGTATTGTGATTCAGCAATCCTTTCTTTTCTAGCTCTAAGAGACTGTTTCCTTCAATAATACTGAAAGAATTTGCATGGCCAGAACTCATTGAAGACTTAGATAGGATGGAGATGTTGGAGGAGCAACCTGAGATGAAAAATTTGTCACCAACAATCATAAAATCCACTAGCCACAGTTGATAATTAACTGCATAATTGACAGCAGATTCCACCCCCACTTCTATATCACCCAGTCCAAAAGCATCTTGAGATTGCAGAATAAGGGCTCAAACACAGACACTGATTGATTGGGTCAGAAGTAACTATATAAACACTAAAGGACAACAATCAACCAAATGAAAGAAGGCATGTCTGCCAAAAGGAAGACTCACTTTCCAGAAGGAAGATGTCAGGTCACTGTGAACTCACTAGATCTTTTGATTGTTTGCAAATAAATCTTTTTTATTGTTTCCTAATAAACGATTCAGAACTAGATAATAATGTTCTGATTTAGTGTATTTTTATACACATTTTCATATCTCGAACCACCTTTTAAATACTTAATTTTATTAACAATAGCGATTTAATTACTATCTTCAATTTTGTGGTATAAAACATGTCTTAAAATAATATCTTCATAAGTTAGTAAAACTTTGCTAATTCATAAAACTTGCAGGGGAGGAGGGTACATCCTGAACTTGCAAAAAGTATTACTTATAGAATGTTGTTTCAAGAAATGGTGCACTACCTTGGACAAGTCATTTTACTTTCCTGAATCTCAGTTTTCCTGTCTACAAAATAAGCAGCGTGATTTAGAACAGAAGCTCTTAATTTGGGATCCAAGGACCCCTGGATAAATTTCAGGGGGGGAATCTAAGAACTTAATACATACACATATGTATGTCCCCCCCCACACATATACATGTACATATACATATATGTATACAACAATAAGGACATGTGTGTATGATGTATACATGTATGTATATGTATCTACATGTAGACAGATGTGTATATATGCCGGCACATATAAATATATAATACCTTACATATTCAATATACACATAAGTATATATGTGTGTGCATATACATATATTTATATAACAATAATAAGTACATGTATGTATGATGTGTCTATGTGCAGATACATATATTTATATGTGTATGCATATGTTGGGCATATACATACATGTGTGTATATACTCTTGCTCTTGTTCAACCACAAAATATTTTTCAATATAATTGATTTTCTTTGTAATCTTATATATCTGATTTTATGCATTTAAAACACTGTTCTGAAGAGGCTATAGATACCACTTATTTTCCAAAGGGGTCTGTGTAACAACAAAAAAAAAGTTAAGATGATTTCTGCTGTCTCTTCCAGACCAAAATCTTATGAATCCTATAAAATGAAGTTTCAGTAATTATACCTGAAATGTCCTTCCACAGCCTCGTTCAACCTATTGAATTCTTGCCTATTTTTAAAATCATAAATCCAAAGTTAACTTTTCTATGCACCCCAGATATGTAGTGACTTCTTCCCTCACCTTAAACCTCATAAAGAACTTTCTTTGTGCCCCCTTTAAATACTTGTAATGTCTTATTATGTTTTATGTGTGGAGCTCACTAGACTGTAACTTCTATGAGGGTAGGAACCATGTCTTCAGTAAACTATGTATCACTATGCATGCCTAGTAGATGAGGCTTTGAATTTGGAGTCAGACTCATAATGAAAAATACTGGCCACATCCAGAGAAAGAACTGAAGGAGTCTGAGTGCAGCTCAAAGTGTAATATTTTTCACTTTATTTTTCCTTTTGGTCTTTTTCTTCTTTCACAATATGACTAATATGGAAATATGTTTTACATGATTGCATATATATATATATATTTATAAAACCTATATCAAATTACTGTCTTGTGGGGGGAAGTGAGGTAGGGAAAAAATTTGGAACTCAAAAATTTTTTAAAAATGAATGTTAAGAAGTGTTTTTACATGTAATTGGAAAAAAACTAGATACTATTAAAAAAGAACTTGGAGTCAGGAAGACCTGAGTGCGGAATATCACCTCAAACACTTACATAGTTCAGTGATTCTGGACAAATCACTCAACATCTCTGAGGTTCAACTTCCTGATCTATAAAATGGGAACAATAATCATACCTATCTCCCAACACTGTTGTAGGGATCAAATAAGATAATGTTTATAAAGCTCTTTGCAAATCTTAAAAAATACAATATAAATGAGTGATTATAGTAGACAATGCATTTTTTAAAACTTGAATTCAAGCGAGTATTAGAATAACACTAAAAATGGTTTACCAAGTACTGCCAAGAAACAACAATCCTGCCAGGTCTGCTTTAAAGCACTCCTAAGAATCATTTGTAATTAGGATGTAATTGTTTGCATGCAAATAAGTACTGCTTAAGTGTTTGAAAACAGCCTGTTTTCTTCCATAGATTAAATACATTGCCCTCCCTCCTCCCCTGCTGTTTATATCACGGATTTGCTTAGCTGTCCTTTCTTCATAGTTTAGGCAAAGGTAAATCTCAGCTCAGCTTGAGCTCCATGCAGGCAATGGGGCCCCAGAAACAACTTTGAGGCACTTAGAATATTAAGCAGTTTTGGTGGGGAAGGATGGGAAGGAGGACGTTGACCAGGGCCTTGGATGTCCCCAGATGCAGCAATGCCACACTACAGTGATGGCCCTTTGCCCAGCCCAAAGCTATGAGTGAGTTTGTGAACGATCCTCCAATCTCACAGAGTGGAGTCTGAGGACATGAAGTTTAGTGTATTTCAAAGCAATCAAATCACTGGTTCCACAGGAGTCAGAAAAGAATGTATTATAAATGAAAGAACTTATACATTAAATATTTATTGACTAACTTTTTTTCTAGACAGACAGGATAGGAGGCCGGTCTTAGAATCAGTGAAACCTGGATTCAGGTCCTTCGACACTTACTACCTGTGTGACCATGGGGCAAGTGGCTTAACCTCTTGGTACCCCAGGCAATTCTCTAAGATTGATTATAAGTTACAGATGACTTGCTGATCTGCTTTGTTGGAGGGAGTTTCCCTGTCAAGACTTCATCGTGAAGATGAAATCACAAGTCTGAGGGGAAAAAAAAATCTTTCTTGAAGAAACTTGAAACAATTTGTAAACACTAGCTAGTTAATCTCATAGTATCTTCACTTCCATTTAAGCATAATTACATCAGACTATGCTATGACTAAGCTTGAACACCAATTAAAGGAGAAATTATTTTGTAAAGTTCTGTAACATCATTAGATGATCACATTTTCTCTGCCTTGGCATTATTCTTTAGGCGGCACTGAATGCCTACCCAGCTATGACTGCAATGTTGTATACAGGGATATGTGTGTGTGTGTGTGTGTGTTTGTGTGTGTGTGTGTGTGTGTGTGTGTGTCTGTGTGTGTGTGTGTGATATTCGGAGAAAAGGGTAATGTAGCAGGCCCAGTTAGACAAATATTAGATGTTGTCTAGAAAGGTATATACTTCCTCCTTCAGTTCCCCCCCACCAACATTTTGAATACCAAAGACCACAGATTAAAAAGAGGGTATAGTGGTAGAAGGGGGGGGGAGGAATTCTGAACCTTGGGAGAAAGTACCTACAAACAATGAAGTTAAAACATTGTTGAAAACTCACCACTACCCCATTTGGCATCTACTTTTAATTTATTCTTTAAAGTTCAGAAACATGGTCTGGCAAGCCGTCTTCCCCATGAGATTTTCAGTTCCTTGAGAGCAGGGATTGTTTTTGTCTTTCTTGCATCCCAGGCACTTAGCACAGTGGCTGGCACATAGTAGGTGCTTAATAAATGCTAGTTGAATTGGCTTGACCTCTGGCACTGGATACAGACAATTATGGGCTTTTTGTTGTTTCTGTAACAAAGATACAAAAACAAAAACAAAATCAACTTCAGAGTGTTATTCAACACCAAGCAGTTGACTAGGATTTATTAAGTACCTACTATGTGTCAGACACTTGCTAAGAAAGGGGCAAGGGCAGGCTCTCAGGGAGTTCTGACACCATAAATCTGCAGCATATTGGGCTATGCTCTGTGAAGAGATGGTAGAAGAGGGCAGGCTAGAAAGCAAGTCAATCTTAGATCTTAATGAAATCTGAGAGGATATTTAGTGTCTTCCAATGAAGAGTCCTTTCTACATCTTATCCGTTATGCTTATCCAGTTTCACACCATTGCCAGACTAATCTTCCTGACAACAATAATGGTAATAGTAACAACAACACTAAGAATAAAGATCAGAGAGATGGCTTGGTGGGTAGAGAACTGCACTTGGAGACAGGAAGATCTGGGTTCAAATCCTGTCCCTGCTATATACTCACCATGTGACTCTAGGCTCTTCCTCATACAGAGTCTGGGAGATGGTTTTAGTCAAATGGTGAGAGGACTGACTTGGAGATGGAAGATCTAGTTTCAAGGTTTCCCTCTGCCAGTGAAAGGCAGTGTGGTATAGTGGATAGAAAGCCAGGAAAACCGAGATTCAAGTCATGACTCTTGCTGTGTGATCCTGGGCAAGTCACTTAAACTCTCAGTGTTTTATACAAATCTCTAAGAATATAAGTTGCAGAAAAGCTGTTGACCTACATTAGTGGAGGGAGTTTCCTCATCTGGGAATTCTCCACAGCAACAGAATCACAGATCCAGTCCCTATTCTTATCCTACCAACATAATAAAATAACTATTATACAACCAATAAATCATATTGAAATTGGATTCTTATCATCACAGAGCAAACTATTGCCTATAATTGCTAAAATATAACATCAATTCATTTTTTAAAAATTAGGAACATCTATAATAGATGTCACCATACCAAATATATGTAATATCCAAGACACATAGAATAAACCACTTAAAATATGCAATAGATATAAGAAAAATCAAAATCTTACGGAAACAGAATGAGGTGTCCCTCATTCCAAATGTCCTGTCTGCTACAAGATTTCCACAGACCCTACCAGCTGTTCAGGAAACCTACATACACATACACACATATATGTGCACAACATATCTGTATACACATATACATACACGTGCATTCATCGTATATGCACATATGCATATAGTAATAATAAAGTCCAGATTGCATCAAGTGTATGTGATACATGTATCTACATAGACACATATATGTATGCATGTGAATGGGCAACTAGGTAGCACAGTGGATAGAGCACTGTGCCTGGAGTCAAGAAGACCTAAGTTCAAATCTGGCCTCTGATACTTACTAGTTGTGTGACCCGGGGCAAGTCACTTAACCCTGTTTGCCTCAGTTTCCTCATCTGTAAAATGAGTTGGAGAAGGAAACCACCCCAGTATCTTTACTAAGAAAACCCCAAATGGGTCCTGAAGAGTCAGATATGACTGAAACGACTGAACAACAAATACATGTGTGTCTATCTACATATACATATACATATATCACACACGTGTGTATACACTCTTGCTCTTGGTCAACTACAAAAAGCAATCATTTTGTCCACCTGTGTAATAAGTAGTCTATGGAATGCTAAATATCAAAGTATAGCAGTGGAGTAATGGCTTATCCCAGTACTATTTTTATCTGAATCCCATTGGAAAAAAGATGATAGGAATGAGAGAATTATAACTATTATTCACAGTATTAACATCATGCTTTGAAGTTTACAGAGCATTTTATATACTTTCTCTCATTTGATTCTCACAACAACCCAGTGAATTAGCTATTCTATCAATAAGCATTTATTAAACAATTACTCTGTACCAGAAACTGCATTAAGCCTTGAGGATACAAAGAAAGGCGAAAACTTGTTCCCTGCTCACATTCTAATGGGGGAAAATATGCAAATAACTAAGTACATATAAGAATAAATAAGAACGTGCAAATAAGAATAAATGAAAAGTAATCTCCAAGAGAAGAAATTAGCAGGGGTGGGATGAGGTGGGGTGGAGTAGGGAGGACTAACAAAAAGTCTACTGCAAAAGATGAGATTTGGAGAAAGCCAGGGAAGAAGTTAAGAGGCAGAGATAGGAGAATATTCTAGCCAAAGGGGACAGCCTTGTAGAGCGGTTGACAGAAAGGGTGCCTCTTTGTCAAATACTGGGGGAAAGGAGAGTGGCAAATGATGCCATGAGGGTAGTCACGTACAGATGGAGTATAAAGTGCAAGGATCAGCGAAACAACCAGTATAGCTGAGTTGTAGGATATTTGGAGGGGAATAAAATATAAAAACACTGGAAAGGCACGGATGGAGCTAGGTTGTAAAGGACTTTAAATGGTAGAGAACTTTCTATTTAATTTTGGAAGTAAGAGGGAGCCATTGGAATTCATTGAGGAAGAGAGTGACATGGTCAAAATCATTCTTTAGGAAAATCACTTTGGCATCTAGATGGAAAATGCACCAGGGTAGAATGAGACTTGAGGAAGGGGGACCAGTCAGAAGGCTATTGCAATAGTCCAAGTGAGAACCTGTACTAGGCTGGCAACTGTGGGGGTGGATAGAAGGCAGAGTATAGGAAAGATACTGTGAAAGTATAAATAGATTTGACCAGAGGTGGTGACAAGGGAAAGTAAGAGATGGATAGTGCTGGATATAGTAGATCTGGGAATCATTTGCAGAGAGATGATAACTGAACTAATGGGAGCTGATGAGATCATCAGGCAAGATAATATAGAGAGAAAAGACAAGAAACTTCAGGGCACAGTCTCTAGGGACATCCACAGTGGATCTGATCTGAATGAAGAGTCATCAAAGGAGAAAGAGAGGGGAGGAAGGCACGGCTCAGAAGTCTGGCTATGCTACTCCTCTGTTCAAAGACTTTCAGCGATGCCCTTTACTAGGCAGTCATTTGGCACTAATGTATCTCCAAATATGGCACTAATTTGGCACTCCAACTTGGCACTAATATATCTACTACTACTCTCCTCCGGACAAACTATGCTTCAATCAAACTGGACTATTTTTCATCCTCCCTACAAACACCGGAAATTCCCACCTCCACATCTTTGTTCATATTGTTTCCCATGCCTGGAATGCCCTCTCCTAAAATTCCTGTCTTTCTCATGCCACCTCCTCAAGAAGCATGCCATGATTTGCACAGTCAGTAACAACTTTTCTCCCCTAAGACCTTATATAGCATTTTATTTCCACTTCTTTTATGTACTGAAGATATATTATTTTATTTATATAGATAGCTCACAAATTCAAAAATCTCTACAATTTCTCCTAAGCTCCAGCTACACATCTCTAACTACTTATTGGAAATTTTAAACTAGAAGCCCTCTGTGCCCAGCAAACTCACAACAGAACTCATTTTCTTTCCCCCTAAACTCATCCCTCCTTTGAACTTTCCAATTACTGTTGAAGGTCCCACCATTCTTTTCGTCACCCAGGTTCACAACCTTGACATTCTCTTCTCTCATTCTCCTCACTCTTCCTCATCCTGTATGTTCAATCAGTTGCAGATTTTGTCATTTCAATCTCCACAGTATTGCTTACATCTCCCCCCTTCTTTCTAGTCACATGAACACCACAAACCTATATCAGGCTTTTGTTACCACTTGCTTGGACTATTACAATGACCTTCTAATTGATTTCACTGGTTCCAATCTCTTTCCACTCCATTTCAACCTTCACATAGCCATTAAGAATAAATCCACTTTAGAGTACCTATCAAGCATGCGGAAGGCCTTCCTTTGGAATTTTTATCAGCACTTCATTTAGTTTGTCCATCTGACATTTCTTCCTGGCCAGCTCCAAACCATGCCATAGTCACTCAGATGATAATACTCCTCTTCCTCCTCCCCCATTCTCCTCTTCCCTTTTAATCCTGGGCTCAGTTCAATATTGATTGAACAGCCCTATCAATGTCTTTGAAACTTAACCTTATGGTTTGGATAGTAGGTATCCTTCATCCACTTACATTTTCCTGTGTGGATAGTTAGGGTGAGCTCTTTTGGGTATGTATCTCGTTTATGAGGCTTTGACATTTTTGGGGCTTGATACAATAAGAGTAATGTCACTGGTAAATAGGATCTAAGGTCCAGGTTTTCTGGCTCCAGGCATATTACTCAAAGCAGGCCATTCTACTTTTGGATGCCTCTATTTTTTTTTTCTTATGTAAAACTAAAATTTGTTTCTCTGTAACTTATACTCATTGGTCCTTATTCTATTCTTTGGGTCCTAATCCTTTTCTAACATGACAGCCCTTCAGATATTATCATGGCACTCCTAAAACTCTTTTCCAGCCTACACACTTTGCTCTTTCCCTATTCCAAGTTTTTCAATCTATTTTCATATGGTGTTGTTTAGGATACCTTCACTATTCTCTCACTGTCCTGTGTTCATGCTCCAGATTCTTCATATTCTCCACAAAATGTGGTTCCAGCAATTAAACAAAGTAATCCAGATGTGTGGTCTGACTAGGGTAGAGTAAAGACTGACTTTCACTTCCCTAGTCAAAGACATTACGTTTCTTTTAATACAGTAAAAGGTGACGTGAACTTTTGGGCTTCCCATCCTCTGTGTTTCTGTTTCATCCTTTTTACATGAAATGCTGTCCATCGATGTACCCTCTCACATACTGTACTTCTATAATTTATCTCTTGAATCCAAGTGTAGGACTTTATATTTCTTTCTATTAAACTTAATCTTATTAGAGATGACCAACTGCTCCAGCCTGTCAAATTCTCTTTTGTTCTCAGTTCTGTGTAGTACAGTAGAAAGAGCATTGAATTTGGAATCAGTGGATCTGGGTTCAAATCTTTACTTTACTTACCTGTGTGACCTCCTACAAGGCACATTACCTCTTTGGGCCTCCATTTCCTCATATGTAAAATAAAGGGGTTGAATTGCATGACCCTTACGGTCCCTTCCAGCTAA